ACTAGCATTCCTCAAGAAGTCCAGCACACTGTTATGATGACCAGACTTCCTCTTACAACTTGAGTAACTGAGGTAGTACCCAGTTTCTCCCATATACCTGTGAATTGTTTCCAGTCTCCCACAGACTCCCAATGACTGGAAAACTACATTGTACTTTTCTGGTCCTTTGGGATAAAATTATGAGTGAATATAATAATTATATTAATTTCAGCAGGGGACATTAAAGAACCCACATGAGATTACTGTGATGTGGTCTGGCCTGTTTACTGGGAGTGGGGGAAGGGGGCATCTGTAAAAAATTTCTTCTTTATTAATTGTAAACTGCTGCCAGCAGTCTGAAAAAGTCCCCTGCACAGTGTTGTAAAGCGCATTGAACATTCCTTGGAAATGCGCTATAGAAATTGATATCATTACTATTATCAGTTTTATTGCAGTTTATATACAGAGTAGCAATACATCTGCAGTTCTTACACATCCACCCATCCCATCCCAGGGGGAGGACATCCACCACACAGTAATCTCGTGTGTGGGAAATTAATGTCTCCTACCCCTGCAGGAGATGAGTTGTATTGAGTAGGAGTAGATCATTATCCAGATAAATATGTTGTTAGTTTGGTTGTATCTATTTGCCATTTGGTAAAGTTTTACCCAATGACAATGACAATAACTTTATTTATACTTGAATTTGAGATAGCAAATACATGCTAATATCTCCAAGATAATAATATAATATAATAGTAATAATAGTATACATTGCTAGACACTAACGGTAGCCAACTAGCCAGAGGCTAGTAGAAATTCAGTTTTGGCTAGTGGTTTTCGATTTCCATTAGCCATTTTAGCAAGTAAACAAACTGAAATTGTTGTAACATCTAAGTTGTCACTAGCCACTTGTCTATAAGTTGAAAATTTAGTGTCGAGCGTGGAGAATGTTGAGTGGTTTTTGGAAATGGTTTTTACAGTTTGAGGTTTGACAAGGCTAAAATTATGTCAGGAACTTGTAATAATTTTTGCAATTGTCAGTTCAAGCAGCTCAACATCATTATCGTGCTCTGTCATGATAACAGTTATGTACCTAATGGCTAGCCTTATTCATTCTATTGTCTCTACCCTTTCACTTCCACCAGTTACCAAGACAGAATTTCTGCTCACTGTATCGAGACAATATCAAGAAAAAAGTGACAATAATAAGAAAAATATCAATGAGTGGCTCAAATACTAAATTCTCCAAACTAGCATCATACGAATTGTATTACAGAATGTAATACAATGTATTATGAATGAGATCTTGGGAGAGAAAGGGTTAATAGTTAGGGCTCAATTAAGGTAAATGAATTTTATTTATATACTTAAAAGAGAGGAATTATTTATTAGTTGCCCATAAATGACTAACCCGTAATGAACAACCATCCCATTGAATTCAATATCATATTTTTGTATGTTGTAATGGTCTGAGCACAAATTATAGTACTTAAGAGGTGTAACTTAATAAGTTATGATTAGTTCAATAGTATTTTAAATCATAAATCATATTCACATCATCTGTTTACTGCAGTGATTTAATCAACTGCTCTGTTCTGAGCATTAGCCCCTCCTCCATGAGTCTTTGTGTAATGTCATTGGTTTTCTTTATTTATGCCCTTTATGCATAACATTTTCTTTAACAAGTAGTGTTGTAAATTATCTTTCAGTGATTTCAAGGCTCACAATTGAAAATTCAAATGTACTGTTTATAAATATTCATATTGCTAGCATATGGTTAAATTATAAAAAGTAAGTGTGCCTTTTGTATGGGCTCAAGAAGTCATTTCAGCTGGGAGGGTTCCATTAAAAAAAAGAATGGGGATGAAAGGTTACGACTGTTGTTGCATCAAAGTAAGCAATAACATGTTTCCAGGAGCTCCCAAAATGAATTAAATGTGAGCTTCTGGGCACTAAGATTGAATTATTATGCTAGTGTCAGCCTGTTTTAGGCATTTGAGAGGTTAATACTCGTAGGGTACTTTCATTGCACAAAGTGTAACTAAGCAGAACCACAGGAACTCATCCTAAGCATGTGCATTTTTTGTTCCCTATTTTACTATGGTGATTATTGAACAGCTAGCTGTAACAAGCTGCAGTAGTCTGCATAAGTTAGACTCAAAGGCTCAGAGGTGCATAAAAACCAAGTTTCCTTGTTCACACTCTTTCGATTTCATCTACTGAAATTACCTAAATGGTCCAGTAGCAAGTGTACCTACGAGCAATGGCAGTCAGAATCTTAAGAACAATGTTATTTTGTAGTGATATAAAAACGAGAATGGGGATAATTATAATTGTAATCATATTATTATTATTATTATTATCAGTTTTATTATTTTCATGTCATCTGGAAAGATCTGGTTCAGTACCATCATATAATAAAGATGACATTTGATGCCTGAAAAGGATTTGATGTTGAGTGTCCTGAATCAGTTTTCAAATCAGTTGTTACATAGAAATGTGCCCCCATTGTGACCATTTACCTCAGGTATTGTAAACTGCAGCTGCTTCTAAGCCTCTTCACTTATAAGCTCCCCCTTCGCCCCCTGGTTACTGCCCTATTTGCCAATAAACACAAAAATACATTTGACTATATGCCCCCCTGTTGGAAATTCCGTTTCGCTACGTTCCAGATTTGTTCGTGTAGCTTAACGGAATTTACTCTGTACCAAAATAATGTATTGAAGTGAATTATATTTATTGTGACGTTTTGAAGCTATATTCAGCCCTCTCGAATGTAAGCCCTTCCGTTTACAAGCTCCCTAAGCCCCCATTACGAAACTCAAGGCTCCAGCGGCAGCTTACGTTATCAGTAACTAGGCCAGAAACATCTGTCACTTTGTGAAATTTAATTAAGCGTTGCAAGTGTTACACTCCGTTACACACATGCGTCACAACGCTTCAGGTTTTAAAATCAAGAAAAGAGAAGCAAATTTTAGCACCCAAACCAATCCATTTTGTTTCTTTGGCTGGCAGATTTGTATAATTTTCAAAACTTTTAAAACCCCCATCTTGAATGAAATCAGAACAGCATTATAATTACGGGCCCTTAAGTTACCAGGGCCTCCAAAATCAAATGAAACAGTCTTAATAGAATTTTAATGTAAAAACCAGATTTACTATATATTAGGTGTCACAGATATTGCACGTTGAAAAAAAAAACCCGCTGCTATCACGCGTACAATGTATGCGATTGTTAACCCTCGATTGCAAACTTATCCATACCAAATTGGTTGTCATCTGGAGGGGTTTTGCTGTTCGTTTCCGGCGAAGCTCTGCAGCCTTTTTCTCCTCCACTATTTGGCTACCCGTGGGCCAGGAAAAGTTGTGAAGAATTGAAATAGAAAAGTGTGATAACAGATTGTTGTTGTGGGCGTCGTTCGATCTTGTTTCACATTACACTTTCGACCCAAGAAGAGCAGAAAACACGTTGACAAGGCCTGACAACGGCCATTAGGCTGATTGCTGGGTCCAAATCAAAGACAATGGACAAACTGTACCTGAGTATCAACGCGTCCTGTGGGGGCTGGGGGAGTGAAGGATGTTCCCCCCTCCTCACCCTTGTATGAAAAGCCTGATACTCAGGCTATTTACGGGAATTAATCAAGACAGCCACTATTTCTAAATCATAATGAACTAACTAATAAAGACTTCAAAACAATTATGGGGAATTCAAAACAGTTTTGAATGGAGAGGTATCATTTACCTTACCCCTCCCTACAGGGGGCTATTTGTTGTTTGTCACATGCTTATTTCCATTTCCGCTCATTGAAAACCTCTAAGGATCGACATCACTGAAGCACGGATAAAATTACTGCATTTTCGAAAGCGACTCTAACAAACGTGCCTTGAAAATACAAAAGCTTTTGGTAGCTAAACAACATTTTATCATGGCTCCACGTCACCAAGATGGCACGACTTCAAAGAGTTCTGCATTTGTATTCTACTTATCGGTTGGTGCAGTTACAATTTTAGGGATGTTGGCGATAGCACTGACCGGTACATGGACAGTGAAATATCTCGGTGGATTCGCTTGGGATGGGACAGCTCACGAGTTTAACTACCATCCTCTTTGTATGGTCATTAGTTTGGTATTTCTTTATAGCGAGGGTTAGTTTCTTTGAAGCTTTACTAAAGTATTACTGTGCTCTGTTTCTTGTCAATTATGGACTACATAATTTAACTGCATGTATGCTGTTCTTGCAATTTACTTCAAAGTCTTGCTTTTTCTCCAATGTAGGATTCTTTTCCTCTGCAAACCATGAGCCATTTAAGCCTCTGGCTTTGGCTTTACTGTTGTGAACAGAACCACTAAAATGATGGAGTAAAATATAATCTTAAATTGTAAACCGGCGGGCCGTTATAGCATATTTATATTCACTCTTAACTCCCGACGCAGAGGTTACCACGATGTAATTTATATAGTCGACGCGCGTTTTTAGACGATACAAAGAGCGATCGATAGATAGTCCTTATCTAAGGAGAAAGTCTTTGCCAATTTCAGTTCATGTGATTTATTCAAAAGAACTGTTTCTTTCAAATTTCTACCTATTTAGGTAAGCATAATTAATGACAAAAATATAGAGCTGGGAATTGCCTTGAGATCTGGAATGGGTGAACATAACATACAAGCTAAAGAGGTCTATTTATATCAGCGTATCTTTTAAGGTCGGCACACACGAGGGGACTAGTCCCTGCGACTAGTCCGTGCGACTAATCCCGGCGACAAGTCTTTGAAGGGTTTACACGAGGGGACCGGTAGCAGGGACTAGTCCCTTAAGGCATTCACACGAGGGCACTCAATTGCACAAGCACATAGGAAATTAAAAGGCGAAAGATGTTTCTTAGTTTGGGGCGTTACACGAAAACAAAATTGGACTATTAAACATCAACGCAAATGAACTACACTTATTCAGTCGGATGATTCATGCTTTTACGTGTTCCGTTTTTGTTTTGTTTTGTTTTTTATTTTTAAAGGTCGGCACACACGAGGGGACTAGTCCCTGCGACTAGTCC